CTATAGTCGTTTATACTAACTTGCTGCCACAGAGTGGTGTTGTATTGCAAGATTTGCCTTTGGCTGAAGTCAGGCATGATGGTGAGACAAATGTCTTCCTGTACGACCACCAACACATTCCTTCCTATTTTCACCAAGAAAACAATTGACCAGCTGGCTGAAAGGGGCATGCTTTGCCCTCTGGCCACAGATGTCTCAAGTAGAAATATCAGTGGTGGTTGCTTTTGCTTTTTACACTGGGGAATACTACATCTTCTGCATGATTTTTCTTCAAGACAGCAATGAAATTAGTTAGAAATATGTGAAAATGTAAAAATGTGCACTAAAATTGAACACTTTTACATTGAAGAATGCGTCATCACAGCTGAAAATACTAATTTGGGAGACACAGCTTTGCATATTAATAGAAAATCAGAAGATTTTGTTTCCAGTTAAGTGCTCAGATCATAGAATAGAATCGTAGAATCATAGAATAGAATCATAGAATTGCTCAGGTTGGAAAAGACCTTAAAGATCATTGAGTCCAACTACAACCTAACCAAACTACCCTGTATGCTTCAGTGTGCAACAAGGTGTGATACAGATAAGTCGCAGTGTAATTTGTGTTAGTGGAACAGTATGCTTTGATTAACTTTCCTCATCAGCTGAATGAATTTAAGAATTTAAAATATTTCCACTCTTCTTCAGACTTTATTAAATGAAATACTGCAGCACAGCCCCACATGCATAGCGCATTTATTTTTTTCAATTATTAGAAGTTGCTTTTGTACATTAGGAAATTTCCTAGTGGTAATTTTTCCATTTTTGCAGGATGATGAAGTATATGTAGACACTTTCAGTGACTGATTGGTTTTTTTCATAATGTGCTAAAGGACTTTCATAATATATCTCAAATTTAGGTTGAGTCTGATAATGTGTTGTTTGGCATGACAGATTAAGTTAAAGAATTTAGAGACTTTTGTTACAGTTTAATTTTTATCTAGAATGTATGATAGTGAATAGGAAAAAAAGATGGAAGCGGACTTCATTGAAGGATCTACATTAACTTTCAGCTACTTCGTATCACATTCAAATGTTGACATACAAAGACAAAATGACTTGGAAAATCTCAGGAATTCCTCAAGAGTGGAGTGTTTATACAACACTTGATATTTGTATGTTTGGGTGAATGCTGGAGGTTCACTATCAAGCTGTTGCTGTGAGATGTTCCCATCCACCATAAAGTTTTATTGCTTACACTCCAATCAGTTATCTATGGGAAACCAAGGAGTGCTGTCTTCTGGCCAGCAAATGATTGAAGTACAAGCCTGCATTGGGAGCATCTCAGACTCAAGCTGACATACCTTAGCATATTTTACCCAGCACCAGTCACCATGCACCTAGAAGCATAGTTGTTGAAGAATTCTGTAGTCAATGGCAACTTAGTCCACATAAGACTGTGAACCTCTCTCTGCAGGGGCCTTTTGGTAATAGTTCAAAATGAAGTCTAAAGTTAATTGGGCCCTAATTTCTCTCCGTGCCTTTCTTTGGGCACTGAATTTACGGCTAACTTGCTTAAAATTGGTTTGTCTTCCTTTCTTTTCTGTGAAGATCAGTAATGGTATTGTTGGTAGAGGGTGCTGAAGCAAGTGAATGGATTTAATTTATGTCAGGCTTTTGACTGTGGAACGTATATTCATCAGAGGAGCTGTGCAGCTACAGCAATGGCAACTGGCATTTAAAACCCAGTACTAGTAAATCACGGTGGATAAAACAAATGTGATGCTTTAGTGCAGCTAAGGAGTGACATTTGACCACTGTATTGTTGCTCTGACATTGAAGTTAGTAATGCAGTTTTGTGCCTTAAAGCAGTCTGTTTCCTTAAGCAGACCATCACAGCTTCTTTTGGCAGAGAATTAGTAAAAGCAAGACACATTTTTGAAAGTTATTTAATTCTATAAAAGTGCACAGTCAAAGTGTGAGTGCTGGCATGGCTGTAGTCAGCAAATTGCAATCTGCCACTCTTTTGTGATTTCCTTTATAAAACAAGACCAAGAGCCAGCAATGAAAATCGGCACCTCCTGGTTCAGTAACGGAGCCATTGAGTTCCCCAGAACAACTTTTCAGGATCTCTATTCAGGATCTCCATCTGGACAATCTCCAGTAGGTGAGGAGAGAAATGCTTCTCCTGGACCTGAGGTTGCTGCAGTGTGCAGCAAGGTCCCTGCTCCAGCACCACAGCCCAAGAGCACCACAGCCTGAGCTGTGTCAGCAAAGGCAGTGCTGAGGCTCAGCCTTTCCTCCCTTTCCCTCTCCTGTTCTACATTACATTAGCTTTGAGAGGTTGCCAAGGCAGAGAGGTGCCCAGCAAGCAAAAGTATCTGTGTTATTTAGAGCCTCTACAGAGTTTGGTTTCTGTTGAAGTTCAGAATTTGAGGTACCTAAACCCTGCCAAGCCCTGGGATCCCAACAAACGTCCTTCACAGTATTTTACAGGTGTGATCCATATACATTCTCCAATACCATGCATAGGAAGTACCTCAGATATCCTACAAGTATGGTGGAAGGTCACCCACTGGGCCATAAGTCAAAGTAGTACGTTCCTGGTTTTAATTGTAAGATGTCATCAGTCTCTGTTAGGTCTCTCCAAAATACCAAGCCAGATGCATTCTGTACCCTACACCTTCACAATGTGCCTGTCATGATGTGCTTAAAACACCTGCAGGGGATTTTGCATAGAATTGGTGTTTGCTTTGTTCTTTTACAACTTGTGTTCATACACTGAAGAAAACAAGTACATACAACTTGGTCTTTCACATGAAAAGACTGCCACTGTAAATCTCCCTTATTTTCTGTGTTCATATTCTCCTTTACCAACATTCCATAGGATGGACCAAAGGGAAACTTCTTCAGATTGCTTAAAACAAGAGTAATCAAGGTTGTATATTTTTTCATGGGCTAAGTCCACTTTAACTAATTGCATCAAACTGTTTTATACATAACTCAAAATTCACCAGGTGTATTTCTAGGGTTTTGAAGAAAGCTTGGTAAGCATTTTCAAGTAAAGAATATTGTCTCGTGTAGAAACTTTCTTCTAGCTTTGGAATAGGTACACCAATAGGAGGTGTTAGAGATACCAAGAGCATGGAGTAGTAGCAGGCTATGCTGAAAGCAGAACTTGCTCAGTTTAAAAGACTTATCACATTGTAACTATGAAACCAATTCAGCATGAGCCTTGCTTGATCCTTGCCTCAGTGAGGTCACAACATGCCCAGCACATCAGCTGGAAGGTTTGACAGCAGTTCCCATTCAATGCTTATATCATCAGCAGCTGAATGAATTTCACTGGGAGGACTCTGAATCCCATCTTCTCTGTCCATAAATCTATGTTGACTTCAGCACTGACTCTTGATTGACTTGTGGGAAAAAAATATGAGCAGTTGTGAAGACTGCTTTCCATGAAAAGGGAGATGGAAAAAGACCTAAAAAATTCCCATGCCACACACCAATTTCCTCTGCAATGGGAAGCACGTGTACCTCCACTTGATTCTTTGATGACATCTTGGAAATATTTGTATGCCTTTTGCTGTGAGCAGACAGCGAAATAGCATTTCCTAAGACTCTGACCCACTAACAGTTACTATCTTTCAGGCAGGAGGTAGTCAAGCAGGGCTGGACTTTGATTTCCACAGGAAAATTAGAAAGTAAATTCATCTTCATGTGTGGATGTGCATTTGTCCATCCATCTCTAAAGATTTCAGACAAAGTGTGAGTGAGTTCCAGGATTTCTATTGCAGGATGGGAATAAATTCTTCACAGTATTGAAGAGCATATAACACAGGGCATACTATAACATGGGGCGTACTACATGTGTTCAAGGGTTCTGTTAGGGTAGGGATGTAGACACCTTACAGTAACAAGGGTTTGCAATCAGAGGATGAGATGACTTCTGAATTTTTCTGTAACACCTTTTTTCCTTTAAAAACAGCCCAGGAAAGCATAGGCAAAGAAAGACATATTGTGTGAAACTGGGACAGCAGAGCTGAGCACTCCAAAGACAGACCATGCACACAGTGGGCTACAAAACTCATCTAATTATGCATACACTTTATGATACAAGCTTTGTCATTGCAACTCAAGTTCCTTAGCTGCAACTGTATCTAAACTTTAGCTCCCAAGTACCACGTAACAAAGGGAGTAGTAGATGATCCTCCAGGGGTTAAACATTAAGTAACAACTGGATGTTTTTCTGGAAGATACACAGTGCAGCTCAAAAGCTTTTGGAGCTCAAAGGCAGGAATAATTAGAGACATTCATAACATACATGATGAGGAAAGCCAGATGAGATTACTATAACCATCTCTTTGGCTATCTGACACAGATGATGTTGTCCTTAGAAAGCCAAAATGTTCTCCACAAGGTTTTGCCTGCAGGATAAAATACCTTCCATTTTTATTCTCAACAGATGCAACCATAAATGTATGATTAAAATAAACAACAACAAAAAGCTGCCCCTTCTGCTCCCATTTTGAGCTCCAAAGCCTTTCAAATGAAGTAAAGTTGATAATTACCTTCAAAAGTGATTTCCTTCAACTGGATGAAGCAAGCAAATAATTTCAAGTTGAGTAATTTTAATACTACTATTTCAAGCTCCTTGCCTTACGCAGAATGCCGTCCTGCCTTTGATACAGATGTATGCTGACATGTACTAATGGGTACCAGTTTAGTGAGGAATAAGTCAGGAATCAGACAACTGCAGCATGCCAGCTCCTTCAGTACTTCTCTAAGAGAGGCTTCATCGGTAGATTTTCCAATTTTAGCTCTCTTGCCTAGTCCATTTGGACAGTAATTCTGCATATAGCCATTACAGTTTTGAAATACAGCACAGATTATAAGAGATTGCACTAATAATCTGTCAAAATCCACTGAAATTGATTTAAGAATGGTTTCAGTTTTAACCCACAGGAAAAAAAATAAAGGAGTTAGTGAACTGTATTTCCCCCTGTGTATCCAAATCAAAGTGGCTTAAACACAGTCCATTTTATTGGCTGTTTGTCTTTTTATTGCATACTTCACTATGGTTATCGGCTGATGTGCAACTGCGCTATTTACAACTAGCTGGATACTGATACAGGTGGGGACAGATGGTGGAAACATACTAAAAATGCTTACATTTGTCTAATACACACCTACTGTGTCATTTAATCAATCTCAAAAAGAACCCAAAGCAACTTATTATCTTTGGGGAAACAGGGTTATTCTCATCTCATGCATAAAATAAATTGCTTGTTCTAAATGCAGTGAGAGATAGAAGTGGTTTTCTATCAGTGTGTTTTAATGAAAATCTATACACAGTGCAGATGTTAACTCAGAGCAAAACTTCAGCTTCACTTTGTTTTACTTACCATCAATTTCTATTTCACATTTAAGGTCATTACAAGACTGGAAAAGAGACATGAAAAGACTGAGTATTGAAAAATATTTCTTAAATCATTAGTTGTCATTTTAATGGTGTTAGACTTCAGCAAATTTAGGAGACATAACTAGTTAGCTTTACAGTGTCCAAATATTGTTAGTCTCAGAAGACCTCTCATTTGGAGCCTGCACTCTCCACTCAATTTACAAACTGGCCCTACTTTCTTAGGTTGATGATGTAACTGCCTTATTTGCAGTGTCATGGTCAGGATACAAATACAACGGGCTCTGTGATGAGTTTGCACTTGGAGGTGGCTGTATACTAGCCAGTCTTTCAGAGTTTCCTGGAGACTTCTCCCTCCACCTTGGACTTGTCTGCTCCTGTGACACTTCCCACACAGAGGGACATGGGGAGGCAAAATTCATGGCGGACTGTGAGAGGTAGTTTTCCTGAAGACCTTCTTGGAGGCACCTGTTTGAAAGCACTTCCTTTTCTTTGGAGTTTCGCCACTTCATCCTTCGATTCTGAAACCAAATTTTTACCTGTTTGCAAGTTAACGAGAGTTCATTAGCATTTTTTTCTTTAAATAACATTGCTTTAAATAACATTCTTTAAATAACATTGCTTTTTTTTTTTTTTTTTTTTTTTTTTTTTTAATTTTCCATCCCTTAGTTTCATGTTCCTTCTTTATTTGATGTTATAGCAGATCCAGTTAAGCTGACTGATCGACACTAGCTGGGCATTTTTCAATTCCTATTTGCTACAGCTGAGCTAAATATTCGTCTTTGACTTTCCCTACCTCAAGCAAGTAATTATTTGGTGTAAACTGGAAAGATGAAAGACCAATGCTAGCGATTTTGCATTTTCCTTCAGTATCATCTTTCTAGACAGATAAGAATTCTCAGTGTAAACTAGCACTGTCATTAACAAAATAGGTGATAATACTAGCATTTGGAAATGCTCTTTTTAAAAGAGGCTATAAGAGCTAAGACTATCCCATCTGCAAGCAAAGCTTGGTCATCATAAGGCTTTAAAATGACACAGAAGTTCCAATTTAAAGATATTTTATCTGTCTAAATACAGTTTTCCAAGGGGTTACCTAGAACCATGTGCTTCTGAAATAAAATCCACTTTTTAGAAACTTTTACTGATGAAGCATGGTTGCTCAAAGACATTAATGAAATGTTGGGAAAAGCTTAGGGAAATAAGAGCTTAGGAACTGTTAGATTAAGAAAAGGAGTGAGCATTTGTGGAAGGGAATCCAATCAGATTATTCACATTATATTCTTTTTTTCTCTTAAATATCTGCATGAAGTTCTAGCATTCAGATACTTGATACAAAGGCAAAAGGAATACACCTGCAATGGACTGAGAGTCACTGGCACAGCTGGCAGGAACCGCTACTCCAGTACAGTCAGATAACTGACGAACTAACCTTCATGGTTCATGGTTACATGGTTACATGGTACTCTTCTTTTCATGAGAAAAAAATAATTAGACATGGGTATCATCTATCTATATCAAAAAATTATTTTTCCTGCTGTGGTAGCTGTTATCTGAGTCTCACTCCATTATTTTCTTATTTCCCAGGGCTCTCTTAAATATCAAGAACGTAGAAGAAAATCTCAGTAAAAACAGCTGTGATATTAGGAATTTGACTATATGCTAGGATTCTTTAGGAAGCTCACTCATGAGTGCAACTGCACATTTTCATTGAACCAAAATAGTTTATCCTGCAGAGATGACAGCACCGTTCGTACTATTTATTTTATTGTTTATAGCTGGTTTGAGATGGAGTCAGAGTCATTCAGGTTGCAAGCAATCACATCTCATCTTCCATGGAAAATGAAGCCAATTGCAAAGTTAGATTTAACTGATCAGGGCCTTGTCAAGTTCTGAAAATCTCCAAGAAAAAAAAAAAAAGATGAGGGCTCTCATCACCATTCCCAGGTTTTTCTGCTCACCAGACAGCTCCTGCCATACATATCTTAAGCACATTTACTGCTGCCAAATGCAAAGAAATTCAACCACACTGTCAACTCTCACTCTCTTTCAGCCACACTCCAGAAATAGATGTCTACTCTAGCACTTTCAAAATCCCCTGGATGGGCCCTGATACCTATCCCTGAGGAACACCACTCATGACCAGTTGCCAGCTGGATTTGATTCCATTAACCACCAATCTCTGGGTCTGGCCATCCAGCCAGTTTTTTACCCAGCAAAGAGTGTAACTATCCAGGTACGCTCCACCTATCCAGGCCACGGGCTGCCAGCTTCTCCAGAATACTCTGGGAGACAGCAGCAAAGGCTTTGCTGAAGTCTAGGCAGACTACATCAACAACCTTTCCCTCATCCACTATGTGGGTCATTCAATCATAGAAGAAGATGAGGCTGGTCAGGCAGGAGCTGCCTGTCATGAACCCACGCTACCTGGGCCTGATCCCTCAGTTGTCCTGCACCTGCCGTGTCATTGCACTCAAGGTGATCTGTTCCACAATGTTCCCTGGTACTGAGGTCGCGCTGAAGCAGCTCAGGGCTCGCTCTGTGCTGTTCAATTTTCCCCTTTCAAGGCCATTTTAAAAATTTTTCTTCAAAAGGATGAAAAGTTACAGATTTTCTGCCATTCCTTACCTGAGACTCCTTTAGGCCCAGGTTAATGGCCAGTTTCTTCCTGTCTGTTTTACTGATATACTTCTGCTTCTGAAACATTTTCTCCAAAGCCTTCCTCTGGTCTTCAGAAAAGACAGCTCTTCTTAATATACCTCTCCGGGCTTTGGAGTTAGACTCCTGGGTCAGAAGAGGCAGCACACTTTCCTCTCCTAGTGGAAATAAATGAGAGTTTCACATAATAACTAACACATATTAGAGAAATATTAAGTGCTGTTCATTAAAATGCTAGCAGACCACTGTCCCACTTTTGATTTGTTGGTGTTAGAAGTGTGTCGTAATGCTTCAGTCATGTTCATTAAGGGCTAAATCCTCTCTTGGATCTAGAGGTGTTGTCAGTGGTAAAGAGTCTCCCCTTGACATGGTAAAGAGTAAATCAGATGAGTTCATAGAGGAACATTAACACTGGACTCATACTACTGTAAAATTCAAATACAGGGTGAAACAACTCTGCTCGCTTTTGCACATTATCATCGGGTAAACCACAGTAAGATCTCCTAGTTCATTTTCTTGTGTGAGATGCAGAACCAGATAAAAAGTGGTCTGTAACACTGATTCAGTGAATCTAAATAGGCTTTCTTTAGTTTTGTTTACTAATGAAAGGCTTTCAGAGTGAACTATTTCTCAGAAAATCCCTGTCCATTCACTTACTTATTCTGGAAACCACAGCAATTTCTTTATTACAGGATTTGGGGTGTACTTGAACTTATTCCTTTCACTCTAGTTTCTAATCCTTTGACATCCCATAGCAAGTCCTTAGTAAGGCAGATTTCAATGAATTTAATCATACCCACTTGATCTACACCTAGAGGGGAGCCTACCCTACAAAACGACCTTAAATGTGTGGGACAGAACTGCAGTGGAAAAGTGGAAGTACTCACATTGTCTTTTCACTGGTCTCACAACGAGCACATGAAAAATAAATCCAAATAAATGTTTTGCCTTCCTCATGCCCAGTAAATCCCAAAGACCTAGTGCTTTCTCGTGCTCCGTCTCCCACAGATATGGTGTAATGGAAACCTCCAGTCCTAGTGAAGCTTGGCATGCCTCCAGCAGTCACAAGTTTCCCCAGATACTCACCCAGGGAGCAGTACCTGAGATTAGTTGAATCGGGCTTGTCATCAAGCATTAGAGGTGAAATTGCATGAGGCACTTACAAAGAGCAGTCCTTTGATTCATGCCATACCATAAAGACAGACACCTATGATGTTTCCATGAGAGGGCAGTCACAAAGGTGGCTTTGGTTTGTGTCACTTGCAATTTGGACTTTAAAGGTGTAAGCTGTCCTGTTGATGACACCTTCCCACAAGCACCAGTGAAGACTGATGTCCCAGCTTAGAGCTACAGCAGCTGCAAAGGTGTGCTGCTGTTCAATTTCTGCCAAGGATTTAATCGTTTCCATATCAAAGCCAACGGCAAAATTCTTATCTAAACCAGATTTTTTAAAACATTGGACATTTCTTTCATGAAAAGGTCTATTCTAGTCAACCGTGAAAGTAGTGGAGATGAATTAAATACATTTGTTAAATAAATGCAGTGTTCTTGAAAACACTAATCGAATCCAGATGCAGTTTTCACAAACTGTTCCTTGCGGCTACACCACATTTCAAATTCTGTATATTGTACATAAATACACAGGAGTACATGTATCTTTAAACAGCAGTAGAGAAAAAAAACCCACACATACACAGAGGGCACTGTAGAGCAGTGTAGGTACGACAATGAAAAATTAAAGTGTGTATATGTATGTCTTGCAAAGTTGACTTGTGCTACTTCCATGGCACATGTTCTACTTGTTTGATGTTATATACATTACCCATGTATCCCGCCTTCAAGTGTGACCAGCACAGGATGAATAATAATAGCTGAGCAAGTATACAGTGATCTTTTCCTAAAGATCACTGTCAAGCACTACTGTTTAGGAACTACTGCTTTTAACAGCTTCTACTAGACATGCCTTTTTAAATCTTTTCCACACCTTAAGAAACCATCTTTCGATTTGTCCCTTATAACAGTGTCTGGCAAAAAGTAATTATTTTGCTTTAAAATGTTATGGTATTAAGAAGTATAAATTTATATGGATGTTTTTCAGTTTTCAAAGTAATATTTGGAACCAGATACAAAAAACCATAACCTACTGGCTACTGTCCTCCTATTTATCACACAGTGACTCTCCATCCAAACCAAAACAAACAATCTGCAGGACAAAAGTCAAAATGTCACAGCAGAGGTTTCTGTAAAGGGCCAGCTGGGTTCATCTTTCTCTGAGGAGCACATAGTTCGTTCAAGCCTCTCCCACCATGATCTGATCCTGCTCACAAAGCTGGCTGCAAACACCAGCCCTTCCTCCTTACTTCTGCTTTATGCACATCTCTCTGGAGTATGGGGAATTTAGGTTCCTTTTTCCAGAGAGCCTTCAAGTCATTTCTGATGGATCATCAGCAGTTTTCAAGTGTGCTGGAAGGTACAGTGGAAGAGCTGGTACTTTCTCTCACAGGACGAGAGATACCAGTGAGCTTCACAGGGCTAGCCCTTGACACCCAGGATGAATTCCACAATGGAGTTGTCAACCCAGGACACAGGATGCCAGATTACGTGACCCTTTAAAATTTGTCTTGCCTGGCTGGTTGTTCACAGTCAATCAGCAAAGAAACAACCTCCTGCCTGCCTCCTGAGGTGCCAATTAATTCCTCTACAGGCAGCATGCAGGGTACAGCTTAACACTTGCATTAGAGTAATGTAGTAGTGAAGAATGTACACACTCTAAGGCACAAAAGGTGACTGATTCTAAAAGTCTAACTGGACAAAATTTAATCATAAACAGAACAGTCACAAGCAGCAGAAAGCAACTGCTGGATCATCCACCATCGAGTCAAAAAAATTGAGACTCATGTTTGAGATAACAAGTACTCATCCACAGTTGAGTAGCCTAGATTTCAAGAACATCCCATATTTCAAGATGTATTCTGACTCTGCACTCAAAAAGTACATTTCTGTTAGTCAGTTAAATGATTTTTCAGTAAGCCAGAAACACTCATTCATTCACTACAACTCCACTGAAATGAAGTTAGTTTGTTACTTTGTTAGTTAGTTTGAAACCTGTTGCTGTGAACGTGCATCAAAAGACTTCATGCTCTACTAACATAAAATGTGAATCTGTTACCAAACTTTTCCTATGTTGCCAGTTTATTTTGTATGTGTGTGTTTGTTTTTTTTTTAAGACTTCTGTTTGTATCCTAGTATATAGTGATAAATGTCCCCCCTAATCTGTGCAGCAATCTTCATTTGCCTTCATGGCAGAGACCACCTTGGAGGAGCAAGTAAAAGCTTTAGTCATGGTTTCCATTTTTTCATTTGAACTCAATACATTCTAGTTAAATGGACAATTAATAGGTCACTTCCAAAATAGTAGTGTATCAGTCCTGGTTAATAAACAATCCCCACAGTTGATAATAGGCCTATGTATTCAGCAAGTCCCTGTATACACTCAGCTCATCCACTAAATCCCTTTTCAGGTAGACAGGGTTATATGGGAAGATGAGCTAGAATGAGTCTATAAAAGTCAGTTTCATTCACTGCTTTATTTTTCAGTCAAGTGCTTTAAATGGTGTCCCGAAAATCTCTTGGAATGTGAGACAGGAGAAAAGACTGGCACATAGAGTATTGCTTTATGGCCATACAAAAGGGCAACTGACCCCTGCCCAGGCCTTTTCAATGTGAAATGGTTCCTAAAGTTCATCTGCACAGTGAAAAATTGTGGTGAGGTCGCGTGTGGATGAGTAAAGTGAAAGTGGTGATTGGTCATGGTGCTGTCAGCCATTGTGGGAGAGCCGGGGCCATGTAAAATGCTCTGTGGGAAAGTGTCAGCCCCCTAAAGGGGTGCTCAGAAACTTGCAGCTCATTAAACTGCCAGCATTTGCTGCCTCACTTGTCAAGAATCATTCAACTTAGCAACTGCTCTTCTGAAACGTTCATAAAACACACACACGTAGCCAGGAAGGGTCTGAATGTAACTGTGATAAAAAATATACACTACAGCATGCATGAACTCCAGTTTCCATTTGGATCTGACAAAGGATTTGTGCTTTTTCTCCTTTTTGAAAGACCAGATGACGTGTCTTCTGCATGTTTCCGAGCCATAAACACATAAAATTAAGAATATATGTTCTTACAACAGGGCATGCAAACTTCACAATCAAGGTTAAATTTAGATTTGAATGGCAGTGTATCTCAGCTTTTAATCCTGGGTGCAAAAGGTACACTGGCAAAAATTCTCTTCAACATTTGTCTTCATATTTGTATATCATAATTTTAAAAAAAGAAAAACAAATTAAACACATGCATGCATTTGTCTGCTCCAAAAAGAATGACTATTTTATTTAAATAATGCTAGAGCTTCCTGAATCATAATTTATCCCTGCCATTAAAACACAGCATCCATTTTATGATCTTTCAGCTCTTTTCTTATTTGCAAACGTTTATTGACAGACTTTAAAGAGTTACTGATTTTTAAAAGAACCTTTTCTTGTAAATTGAAAACAAGGAGATTTCCTAGGTTAGCTCTGTCTGGGTGTCTCAATGCCATCAGAAATCTCTCACAATTGCCCAGTGTACTTAAGTTTGATAAATCTTTGGAAACCTCCTGAATAGGATTGCTGTGATTTTACTAAGGAATTAGCCGCTGCCATTGCATCACCAATTAGCTTTCCAGAACACATTAAATCCTGCTGCTTTGGTTTACAGAATAACTCAAGCATTACTGATGAAGCATAAAAACTTACTTGGAAAAGCAGTGGGGGATGCAGGGTGCTGACAGGACCCACCGCAGCATGCTGAGTAGAATGGCGGGGCTCGGAGAAAAAAGTGTTTGGAAAGAGCTGCAAAGAAAGCATAGATCTAATTGATTACCCATTGAGCGTGGGTGATATTCATAACAACAGTCGCCCAAAAAGTCAGTGTGTAAAGTCCTGCCCCACAAGTTCTTTTTCCTTTTCCTCAAGATGGTGGTATTTTTTAAGGCAAACAGTGATAAACCAATGATCGTTCTTTAATTTTAACAAGGTTAGTTCATATCTATTACTTAAATATAATATGCAAAACTCTCACAATATATCTTTTATAAGAACGAAACTCTGCAGATGTGAAATTTACATTTCAAATTGCTGTAATCCTAAATATTAGGACTGAAGATGTTGTTTTAATAATGCAGTCAAAATAATTAGTATAATGCATCTCATAAAGTTACATTAAATCACTCTAATAGGCATAATATCTCAGGAAACAAACAAACAAACAAACAGGGATTCTAAAAGTGAATCCCCAACTCTCCTGCTCATACTGTATTCAAACCAATAAAGACTTTGATAACTAAGAAAACTTAAAGAATAAAATGCAACGAGACAACCCAGGTGAAAACTACAGGGCCTGATTCTGCCTAATATTGAGCTCGATCTTTCTGAAAAGTGTTCTAAATTTAAATAAGCCACCTGCTGAAGACAGCTCTGCTTAATACAGTAAAACTGCAAAATTGTCCCACAGAATTAGGTAATATTTGGTAATATTTCTGTAGAATTTTTCAAAACAACGAACCGCAAGACATGTATGCTTAAAAAGTAACTCCATATCCAGACAAAAAATTAAGGAATCAGCAAAAAGGAAGAAAAATAAATGTATATAAGCAGCATTCTTCATTTTTGAAGGTTTTTCAACTGAATTTAAAATGAAAGATCACAGAAAATTAGGTTCTTGAGTACATATTAGGGTGTAAGTTTTCTGACATACAAATCTGCCATCTTCCAAAGCAATGAAAGATCGTTGTAGAAGCCCAAGTCCAAACATTTTGAAAATACTTACCTCTTTTCATCTGAATTCATACAAGCTTAGGTGAAAATGTCTTTCTAATGATTAAGTGTTTTATTACTGCAGCTTTTCATCAACACTGCTGTTTCTAATGAAATAAAAACATATTCCATGATGAACTAATTGCCTATATTTGCACGCTTGCAAAAAGGGGTAATGATTTATGCCAGCCATTAGTATTCTAAAGCTTCTCTTTCTCATGAGACCATCAAATATGGAACTGTGTCCCATAGAGCTTCAAAGAGTCAAGAATGTGCAGCCATTTTATCTGTCTATGTATCTAAGGAGCTTCAGTGCAGCAGGAGAGGTACATAATGTGGACAGTAACTAAAGAAGCACAGAAGATGGAAAAGGAAAAGACCTACCAGATAATCTCAGCATTCCTCCTGAACATGAGAGTTTGTCCTTTGGAATACTTCCTATCTGCTGCTAATGTGTTATCTGCTACAGTTTTGAAGCTCTCACATGTATCAAATATTCCTTGACTTCTATACTGTCTTATTCTTATTAATCAAAGCTTAAGCATCTTATTCATGTCATACGATTTTTGTCATGTTGGCCTGTCTTTAATTTTCCCTTTTATGGGTCCTTAATTCTCTCCAGTTGCTTGTTCTTTTTTGCTAATGTGGTACTAATCATGACATAGATGAGTACCAGGAGACAGCTGGATAAATAAGGAATGAATGACCTACTGCTTCAGATAGATACCATTCTCCTTTAAATAAAGATAGAGAAATATGAAAAGGTCTGTTTCCTCCATTCAGTAAACTTCTCAATAAATGAGCTACAAGCATAAAGGCCAGGAGATGGATCAGTATCAAAGATACTGATGTACAACTTGCTTAAGAAAACCTCAAACTAGCCACACACTTCTACTATGCTGTGGCAATGATTTAATGCATAGCAAGCAGCAGAAAGCTCCAAGCAGAGATCTGCTCAAGATGATGAAAATCATTCTTTTGTCTTTCTTGGCCATTTTACTTCATTTCCCAGCCAACTCCTGCTTTTTTTTTGTTTGTTTGTGTGAGTGTGTTTGGGGTGAGGGGGGATTTCTTTGACTGCATGGCACATATTCCTCCAAGGGAAGGTGCCTGACTAAGTAGTAACATCAAAATGATATCTTCATACAACTCTGAACCAAGTGGTTCCTGAGACTATTTCTCAAGGTTGATTCACTATAGATCCTGTGGAATAGCCACTGGCATTATTTCTCCTAAACCCATAGGCAATGCAACTTCTTTAATGTGCTTCAACCACACTGATCCGTGTGTAAATTGTTAGATCTATCCAAACACATTGCCAGGTCATGTCTTCTGAAGCAGCTGCACTAGGAGCAAAGTGAAGGAGTTACAAAGTTACAATGGTAAAGAATGTGACACAATACAATTATAAATTCAACTTTACTCTGGGAGCTGTATGGAGAGAAAAACACTCAAGCTTCACCTTAATACATATGGAAAACATTGCCTATATTTTGGTTTTGTGGTCACATGTATCATGGCCACTCTACCGATATTTGGGGTCAAGCAACTCAAAGCAAACATTATTTGGCTGAAAATTGCTGAAATGTCAGAATATTAGTTCTGTATTTATTGGCCAGAATGAAGCATACAGTAACAAAACAGTAGCTTTTGTTTCAAGTCATGTTAACATTAACCATGGGCTAAATCCTAATAATTCATATGTGAGATACCTAATTCTTTTTCTGCTTAGCATTCCCATTTCATTAAAACAGACATTGTGTAAATCCAAGCATTTCACAAAAGTGAGGCACTTCAAAATATACTCCCCACTATGAAGATATTCTGAATTCAAAAACCTTCCTGTGCCATTTTGAAAGTAAGGTTCCTAAGTCCAATCCAACTGAAATAAATAGGTAATTTTAAAATGTTTTATTATTAAAGACACTGTTTTTCCTAATTTGAGCATTACAAAATGACTTTAGAAATGGTACAGGCCACTAGTAATGGTACAGGCCACCAGCAGGCAACAGGGAAGAGGCAAAAGACAAACTGCTATGAGGAAAAGCAAACCTAAGGTGCACTTCTGGTATTATCTGCACAGGCCTCCCTCACTACATGTTTTTCTTCACATTTAGCTGGTAAAAATATGGTATAATCTTGTGACAAGAGCAGAACCACCTCAGAAGGATGATTCAGAGAGCAGAACAGAGCCAGCAACAAGCAATGTTGAGCACAAGAATGAAGTCAGATCTCAAGCTGTGTGAATACAGCCCTGACACTCTCCAACTATTGCTAAGCCATCGTGAACTGCTTTCCCCAGTGGCTCTAGCCCTCATAGGAAAATTTAATATGTAAGCATTAAAATGATTCCATTTCATCTGAGAAACCTGAACAGTTTCTGCCTATGAAGTGGGTAAAAGTAAACTGCAATTTCCCACATACATTCATTCCTGGCAATGACTAAAGCAGGCAAGAAAGCTGCATGTCCTGAGGAGCTCCCTGCAGCCAGTCCAACAGTGACTGGGCAGGTCAGAGGTCCAGCTGAGCCACACAGCACTGTCTGCTCCATAACACAAGCCATGGGCCTCAGAAATGGGCCACGGCTCTGATCCTGTGGTCACTGCATTCAGTCTGGTGCTACGGCAGAGGCTGTGCAGCCTCAAGCCCTTGGGGGCATCCAGCCATGAGAAGAAAGCGGCAGCTGCTGCCATCTCCTACTAAGGGAGGTCAGCACCACACAGATGTGTCAAAATGTACTTCAAGAACTCGTGATGCAGCATACCTCAGAGCTGTCCATCCCTGCTTATTTGCTTTGCATCCTCTCCTGTAAAACCAGGCAGTGTGAATGCTCAGAGGAAGCTGAGACACACAGGCAGACCTGAGTGAATACACAGATCAGTTTTAAAACCCCAGCAAATATTCACATAAACGGTTTTGTAGTTCCAAAAGTGTATCTGGGAATTCTGCATGAAAAGTTAATATATGAGAAGCAGGCTTGCATTTTTATAATGGGTCTCAATGGGGCTTTCAAAAATCAGCAGAGTAGTCACTCCAGAAAGGCTATGTCACCAAATAGGGCTTGAAATGTGCTAACAGAATGATTATTGGTTCTTTGCACCTATAGCAATGTAGTAGATGACAGAGTCACACTGAGGATTAGCTCAGATCACACGAATACCCACCAGTTTTCAGAGGTATCATTTGCATGCCTTATTATTAGGGCACGCTTTGTACATGATTGTTTTCTCTGCTTAAGGAAGAAGCATGCAGAACTCATTGCTAGGACAACATCCACAGCCCACACCAGTGCCAAAGCCTACATAGACCTCTCCGCATCAGCAATAAAGGCTCCTTCTACCTTCTCCATGCTTTATAAATGCTTTTGCTGTTGATACGATGTGAATCCGGAAGGCTTCATCTCCTGCCCTGCTTGGCTTCTGCCAGACACCCAAAGGCTTGTGCACAACCATGGCACTTTCTGCTTACTAGTTCTCTTTTCTCATTTTAAGGGCGTTATTGTCACTTCTCTGTCCAAAAGTTTGGTGTGCTAAGCTCCTTCCCTAGGCATCCTGTACAGTCAATGAGAAGAGATAAGCAGTGTATATAAAGACTCAGCCCCTTAAAATAGATGTCTAAGAAGATAAGTTGTGTCATTCTCTGGAGGTGTCTCTCTGTATCAACTATGGATTAGACAAGGTACATGGACAACTAGATTAGACAAGACCCCTTTATTTTTAAGCAGTTGAAGTAAGATGGCATTCTTATCTTGTCAAAATAATACCACCCACTCTACAGACATAAGCAGGATGGAAAAAATGATAAACTTCAGTCATAAAGAATTATTTTCTTTGATTATCAACACATTTTGAAAATAATTTCCTCAAACAAGGTGAAATTAGGCTCACATGCAGCAGTAGGGCAGTTCACCCATTTTCATCACAGCAGCCCCAACTCAAAATCTTACCATTGCCTAAAATGCATCATTTACTCCAGCAGTATGCACTGAAGAGCTGCAATTCTTACCTGAGCCTCCTCCTGCTTTACATACTTGAACTTGTTTTCATTCTGAAAAGACTTCCTTCCCAGTTCTGTTATAGCTTATGACTGACCACAAAGATAGAAATATTAGAGTACAAATTGGTTTGCAAAGCTGAATTAAGCAAGAATGATGTTCTATGAAACACTTTCAGTGGCAAATAGAGGCAAAGGGCTTGCCTTCCCAAATCACGGGGTACTTAGGAATGTAAAAAATGATAGCACAGTGAAGCTCGATGAAATTCTCCACTTGTGTAGAGAACGTGCCTGATGAGATTAATCCTTATCACTTCATTTGTTTTCTAAAAACCCAATGAATACAGTATGAAATTTCAGAAGACCTCAATCTGAAGTATAATGGGCACTTTATAGAAATGAATTCGCAATCTGTAGGCATGATTAATTCCACAGTTTTCCTTTAGCAAATAACTGCCTTTCTGCAGACCCTTACTACTGCTCTTCTCAATGCTACCCTGAGATCTCCTGGCGGTACTCAAATCCAAACTCAAATCACTTTCAGACTGGAGCTTTGTCCTTTCTCAGTGCCACCAGAGGCCACAGCACTCCCCCACTACAGCTGTCACTGTGCCCAGACTGTTGTACAGGGTGGGAGTAGGGCTGGCACAGGTCTAGCTCTGGCAGCCTTACACAGAGGGAAGAGGCAGCTTTAAGAGCCACTGTGCAGCCACTCTTTTAAGGCACGCTGGGCACCTCAAACCAATTCTATCAAATGGCTCAAAGAGTTATCTGGAAGTAGGAAAAGATGCTATAGTTTAAATTATTTCCTGGTTGTCATAAAGAAGCATGGAATTTTACTAAAAGCAGGGGGAAAAAAAGCAAAACAATTATTATAGGACAGAATTACTGTCATTACACTGAGGAGAAAAAACAGACACTAGCCCAAAGAGTCAGCCTGCAGATGATGACTTGGTTTTACTTCCCTGCAATGTTACCAGTTTCCTGTATTACCTTAGGCAAGTTACTTCCTTTGCTCCAGCTGTTCCTCTAAACAGTAGAGGTCTCTCATACCTCTCTGACACGTTGCCACGATAAATGCATTCAGATGTAAAGTACTCAAATGTTGGAGAAACAGAAGCCACATCCATATTGTAGAACAGATGTTTATTAGTGTAAGTTCATTTTATGTTTATGATTTACTTATTCTAATTGCTTTCTTTCATGTTATATGTGATGCACTGTATTCTTTTCTACTGTATTCTGACGCCTTAGGCAAAAATCCCATAAGCTTAATTTTTCAGAAAGTTTTATGATGGAAGTATCTCACTACTATGTTTATTTTATTTGTTTCATTGTGCTTTTCAGTTTCTTTTCTCTGTTAATCTATCAAAATACCAAGATTAAAGTAGAAAGCCAAATTCTTGCCATGTATGTACTAGTGAGCATACTCAGGTCAAAGAACTTACTGGCATTTTCCTTCCAGGGCATGTTACTTTGAGAAAATAAGAGATTTTGTGGAAAATAATTTCAGGTAGCAGAGAACAGCACTCTTCTCACTGAGGTCACTCCAACTTGGTGCCGACCAGTACTTGTGGAAGTCAAGTCACAAGGAGAGAAATGTAAAGCACCTCTTTAAAGTCCGCGGTACAGCCAGCTGCATCTCATCACACTCCAGATAATTTTCCTATGCCAGAAAATGCTGAGAGAAACCCTCAAGTCTTCCATTACAACCAGAAGGTGATGATAGCACTGGACTACAAGGATAAGAACCAAATCAGAGATTAGCAAGCAAAAAATTGCAGACTTCCTTCCTACTCAGATTCTACTAGATTGCTCAAAATCTCTACTTTAGGCTTCCCTCACCTTTCACGGTTGAAGTATAAGTTGCATAGCTGGAGTACATTTCACTGGGAAAAGCTGGTTTACAACAGTGCAACTTTTAAATGTTTCAACATAGGAAGAACACTCTTCTGGTGCCCAGTGCTTAAAAAGCAGAACCACTGTGTGTACAGCCCTGGTTACAGTGTATGCATAGTTCTCACAAAGCTCAAAGTAGGATTTAATTTCTATTGTATTAAGGCAAAAGGTGTTAAAGGATAAGAGGCCCACAGCACTGACACTGGGAGAAATTCAGTTCAGTTAGCCAGAAACAGTGATTCCTGTGTGCTGAAGCTGGTGGGCCCAGTTCAACATTCTATCACAACACAGAGGCTTGAGAGAAAGGCGCAAGGCAGCGTGCAGGAATCCAGAGTAGCTATAAGGCAAACATGGCAGAAAGCAAGTTGATCATCTGCCATTACCATTCCTTCTGCTTTTCCTTCTGAAACTCTGTGAAGCATGCTGGTTCATGTGGTTGTACTCTTAAGTTAAAAAAAAAGCTATGTTTTAAAAACCTTTCTTTTGATTTCATTTATAAAAATCAATGCAATGCTGGAAAGTGATTTTAAAATTTACAGAGAGCATAATGATATTTCTTATCAAATTTTCTTTCACTCATTAGACGATGCATCTTACAGGGTAATACTTCATGAGTACCTGTTCAGTTTTTCCTTAAGGATTATTTTTAGGGGAACTCAAAATACATAAGCAGATAAATACTTGAATGATAAAACTGTATCAGTACAAATCTGTAAGTAATAGGAACGAAAATTTGCTAATAAAACTGCTGCTGAAGAGTTACAAAGGGAAAGGCCACCACGAGTAGAAGGCACCCATCAACAGTCCAATCCCAGGCAGACTCCATGGCATACATGGATGAGAGCTTTCCAGTTTGCAGAAAGAATACAGGATTCTTATTCCTTGGCACTTCTACATAAAGATAAATAATATCCCAAAACAGTGTGCTTTGCTCATGACATTCCCCAACGGGTGTTATGGGTAAATGTTGGTTTTGGATCTGTAAAAAGTTTCAGCGTGTCAAGTTTGGTCTCTGCTGTAATTTGCTATGCCTTGCTTTCTGGAAAATTTTGGTGGCCACACCAGAATTTGGGACTACACAAGCAATACAGATCACTTATACCAACAATTATGATAATTTTCAGTCTTTTTATTTTTTTCCCCTCACTTTAAACACCTTAAATTGTGCAAATCTAGTTTGTTAGAGCACTTTCAGTCCCTACATAGTATGTAAATACTTGCCAGCTCAGAAAAATTAAAAAAGCAATTTGCTTTATTCTCTTCTGTAATCTTTAATAAGAACTCAGACTAAAATGCTGTATTGATTTGGAAGTCCAAACTGAAATGTGTTTACTCCTCCAAACAAATATTTAGTCCAGATAAAAATCTCTAAATTAAAAAGCCACCTCTCCTGCCATACAAAACTTGCTTTAGTAGGGGGTTGGACTCAATGATCTCTAAAGTTCCGTCCAACTCCTACGATTCTGTGATTTACCTAATAAAAGCTCCTTAGTTAACATACTTTCTGTAAACACTGAAAATCCATACTCTGACAAAAAGGAGCTTTTTTCCCTACCAGAGTACAAGCAAGGAACCGTGTGAGCCTTACTCAGAATTACCACTGACCAATGTGTGTGAACAGTTCCTGTAGAGTATGCCGATGCTAGAGAGAAGAAACTCCTTAGAAACCACAAAATCTGGCTCAGCAGAGCTGTTCTGATTTAACTTATATTGACAAGAACTCAGAATCCTAAGATTGCCCATCACCCTAAAAGATATCAGTCAGACCAGCATCTACTAGCCTTGCTAAAACCTATACATTCCTGTTGTACATCTACGTTAGCGGACTTTCTTAATGAGTGCATAATGCACGAGGAAATCTAGTATTTCTCACTGCTCAAATGTAAGGGTTTGGTGCTTTACCCCAAAGTTCCCTATGTAACTAGTTATGGGCTAGCAAAAAATATAGGGTCATTACTAGGAAGGCTCGACTATGCTGCACTTTGCCAAGTTCACAGGTACCCATGTAGGTCGATGAAAGCAAACAAACTCTGGAAGCAAGCACTTGAAAAATTCAACATTAAGTAACGTGTGAGAGTGCTGGGGGATCTGCTGTCCTACTTCTATGTGTGCTTTGTACATAGAAAAGCAGCACTGGCTCTACAACTTAAAAATAAATAAATAAATAAGAATAAAGAAAAGGAATGTGCAGCTAATTGCAGAGAGATGGGGTTTGTCCTCTATCCTGTCTTGGGAAACGCAAATATATGTTTCAATAACTGAAATGCTTAAGACACGCTCACATCACCAAGGCCCGGAAATGCTAAAGGCACAAAAAATGTTTTGGATTTTGCAGAACGCTTTGTAGGATTTAATTAAAATAAAAGTACACTTGGAAAAGAAAATAATTTTTAACAACTCCGGTTCTACAGGGAGCCACTCGTTTCACACCTGAAATCCTCAGCTCAACAGTCAGGCTTCCGTCTGTCTTATTTTAGGCACATTTAAGACCGAATGATCACACATCAAAATTCCAAACACACCACAGAACGCTGAAATAAATTGATACATTCGAACATAAAGGGCACATCCGTGGCTGAATTTTAGGGATTTTGTAATTCAGCCCCAACCGGCTCAACGACTGACAGAAACGCTCACTCCTAAATATGCTTTACAGCGGTTCCGTTCAGGCAAAACACACGCGGCGCATTAGGAAATAAACTTGGCTCCGAAACATCGCGTCAGCCCGCTCTGAGGGCGGCAGTGCCGCTCGGCTTCCCCGCTACCGAGCGCGGGGCTCTCGGACCGCTTCGGGCCGTACGGAGCTGCGAAAAAAGCAATTCGAGCCATCCCCACGGCCAGCAGCGACGCTCCGCCGCGCTCGCTCCATCCGCAGGTGCGCGGCTCCGCGAAGTTCAAAGCCGCGGATGGCGAGAGCCTGCCCGCGGCCCGGCCGCCCCGCCCGCTTCCCCGTCCCTGCGCTCACCTGTGGCCGCCGGCGGGAAGACGCCGCCTCTGTCCGCCGCCGGAGCCCGCGCTGGCAGGCGGCCGCCGTCCGCCGCCGAGGGATTAAGCACTTGGAAAGCCCATCTGGTCGGATAGGGACCCCCCGAGGGGCTGATTTGTTCCGCCGCGGGGCACAGCTTGAGGGGGACGGGGCTGGCGGGGAGGGGACGGAGCTGGGCAGGGCTCTGCGGCGCGCCGGCCCGCAGCAAGTTCTCGATGAGGAAACTTTTGCCCAGGCTGCCGAAGCCCGGCGCCGCCGGCAGGTTGAGGAGCGCCGAGGAGCCCACCAGGTCCCAGTACAGCGCACTGGGCAGCATAGCGAGGGCCGCCCGGCCCGGCCCGCCCCGGCCCGGCCGCCGCGGCCCCTCACTGGGCTGGGACGGGGCGCCGGGCTGCGGGGCCGGGAGGGCTGCGGTGAGCAGAGCGCTCGGGGGAGGCACGCCGCGCCTCTCCGCCGGGCTGGAAGGTGTGTCCAAGCGCATTCATTATGTCAGCCGGGCCGGGGAGTGATGGACGCGGCCAACAATGCCGCCCGGCCCGGCAGCCCCTCGGGAAGGGGGGCAGGGCGGGGAGCGGTGCGGCCGCGTCCTCGCGCGGGGGTGGCTGCCCCCTGCTACCCGCCGCCATGTCACCCCTCAGGGCGCCCCCGGCGTCCCGACATGGCGGCGGGCCCGCGGCTGCCGGCCAACCTGTGCCGAGGGGACAGGGGGGAGCGCGGCCCCGGGCTCGGGCGGGGGAAGGTGGCCGCGGTGCTGACCGCAGCGCTGCGGCCGGATCGGCCGACCTCCTGATCTCATGAGGTAATAGGAAGACGGTCATTAGCTCACTCCCTCTGGGTATTTCGATTTGCTTTTTCAATATATTTTTAATGCCCCCCCCTGCCCCCTCCCCGCTGGATTTTTAACATTTGTCTCAATAAATCTGATTAAGATCAGCACAGTGCTGTTAATCATATTTTCCTGAAGATGTGGGACGATGGTTTCTGTAGGCATAAACATCTTTTGGCAGGAATGGCTCTGTTTCTACTTGTGTATCTTCCTCTTATTTATTTACCTAAAAAACATGTAACATGGCAGAGATGTATCATTTTCCAGTGAAAACACACATGTGGGAAGTCAAAATTGGATGCTGTTCCCAAAGGCTTGGAGTTGTCTTCTCTTTCGCAGAGAAATCCTTTTATTTCAAGCAGGTGCTAACTCGCTTCATCTCAGGGATACTCTCTGCAGAACCTTCTGAAGCAGATCTGTCCCTTGTTATTGTATAGCAGTAGCCTTGCACATTGTAACAGGGTGGTTATGGTGGCTGCAGCCAGCTGGAGAAGTGGAACTCTATCTTTAGACATCAGATGGGAAGGATGGTTCAACTCTGGTGAGACATCACCTTCAGTGCTGTGTCCAGATGTGGCATTCTCAATATGGGAGAGATGTGGACCTGTTGCATCATGTCAAGAGGAGGGCCAGAGAAGTGATTTGAGAGATGGAACACCTCCCTTACGAGGACACGCTGAGAGAGAAGGTTCTGGGGAGACCTAATAACAGCCTTTCAGTAGCTAAAAGGGGAGGCTATATGAAAGTTAGGGACAGACTCTTTAGCAGGGTCTGTTGTGATAGGACAAGAGTTTCAAACTAAAAGAGGGGAGATTTAGATTGGATATAAGGAAGAAGTTTTTTACAATAACGGTGGTTAGGCACGGGAACAGGTTGCCCCAGGAAGTGATGGATGCCCCATCCCTTGAGGCATTCAAGGTCAAGCTGAACATTGCTCTGAGCAACGTGATCTAGCTGTGAGTGTCCTTGTTCACTGAAGTGGAGTTGGACTAGCTGACCTGTAAGAGTCCCATCTAGAACAATTCTATTATTCTATCATTGACAGATTCAATCACAGATTGAACTACTGTGATGCCAGGTGATAACTTGTGAGTTGTGAATTCATCACTCAGCCCAGGCCTCCCCTCATGTCCTTGGGTAGATTGGTCCTGCCAGAATTTGAGCATTTCCTCCATCAGCACCATGACAGTGGTATCTGTGATGAACATGATAGAGTTGCTCCATGCCAGAAGTGCATGGAGTATCATCTTCTGTCTTCAGCAGTGGCAGTAAGTATGAGGAAGAATAAGAACAAAAAACACATATAGTTCCCTTGTTGTGAATGTTCTCAGCTCAAGCTTAAGCACTTACATTTGCAGATCTGAAGGTCATCATCTTTGTGAGGTCTGGATATTAATGCAAGTACTTTACCTGTGCGTACTTTGAGACTGGAGTTGCCTCTTGCTGTAGAAAAGGACAGAATCTAGCCCAGTGCAGCCAACAGCATATTCAAAGCAAATATGTAACATTGTAATATTAAGATACAGGGATATGTATTTACCATGTTCCTAAGAGAAGAATCAAGTTCTCGCAGGAAAGCACCTGTTTTCGAACTTTTCAAGTAGCTGCTGTGTTAATTACGTCTCATAAATTTATTCACAGTTAAGGATTTTTTCTGTCTTTCCTTTCACTGACCAAATTCTCACAGAGTTCCCAAGGGCCTGAGACACTGGGAACCATAACTCAGCACTTGGGAAAGCGCAGTTAGTCCATCCAGCTGTGCTGCAAGAATAAAAGGTATTCACCAAGCAAAAGATGGTTGTTAATGACAGAAGCCTTCAGTGATGGGCTCAGGATTTGGTTTCCTCTGAAGCAATTTCTCCTGCCAAAGTGACTACTGTTGTGTTAATCTCAGCTGTGTAGTTTGGTCTGATTAACACTTTGCACATTTCCGTGAAATAGAAGGACAACACTTGTAGAATTTGACAACAGCTCTGCTTAGTGGAAGGGAGTGATCAGTTGCCACACAATCAGTTAATAATTCATGTCAGGTTTTGTCTAGTTCCAAGGTGCAACTGAGTCATTGTGATGAATTTAAGCAGTTCCCTTCTCTCCCGTCTCTTATTCTGGTTCCACAGCTATATCACAGAATCACAGAATGGCCCATGTTGGAAGGGACCTCAAGGATTATGAATCTCCAACCCCGCCCCCCCACCACAGGCAGGGCCACAGAATGCTGAAATGGCCCTTCCAAGTTGCAAATAATACAGTCAAATAAAAAATTATTTTTTCAAGAGATTCCCAAGGGAGAGGTAAAACCAGCTGAGATAGCTTAAGTAAGGGTGGTAGCATAGAACTGGCTGAATTAACTCCTTAAACAAGGGAAGCCTCTGAGCATTTTGCCCTGGGGCACAGCTCTGTAGCCCTGCTGAGCAGCAGTTATGAATTCTCTGTGTCCTCAGGGTATGCGAGAAAAAGGTACAGTCGGGCCCAAGAGCTATTATCTGTCCAAAGCTGGAGAGATCAGTGCAAAAAAGTACAGATTACTCATTCAAACCTGAACTAATATGGGTGTAAAAAAAAAGGTGGTATCCTTAAATCGAGGTCCTTTTCAGTGAATACAGCCTGGATATCTGTGACAAGGAGATCCTTTGCCAGGGAGCTGGAAAGTGCGTGCTATTTACCTGGATACATTCAGCAAGTAGAGGTGGTATTCTCATTTCTCTTCATTCGGTCCAGCAAATTTGGAAGGTATTTAGGCTATTTGAATTTTGCCAATCTATTAAATTGCTTTTGCTTTAACCAGATTCAATCAGAAGTTTTCCTTAACTGGATAGTCTGGCTTGTTTTGAGGAGGCTGGAAAATGTTAAGATACACTTCTCAGGTTGCAGAGCTTACGGATATGAACATGCATGAAATGCCCAGCACTCTGTTATGCCTTTCTCACTGTAAATACAGGGTACAGCCAAGGCATAGTATTTAATGTATTGAGCACAAAGTCCATGCAACCAAATCAAAGTGTCCCCCATTATATTTTTTCTGCCCTTTCTCAGGTGACATTTCCAGCCTCGAGCCAGCGAGTTTCTTCCTTGCGCCTCCTTCTCAGCCCCGACTCATGTTAAGCTGAGCTTTAGTTCATACTGTCCTTTCAGTCGCTTAACTGGATGCATGTATATTAGCAGTCAGATGCTCCTTTTAACTTTCTTTCCTGTAATTTCTTACTGGTTTGCTGGCATGTTTGACTTGCTTCTAAAACTGCCAAGTATATGACTAGTCAATAAGCTGCAGCAATCAACCACAAAATCCAAAGAAACAATTCTTTATTCATTTCCTTATTTTACACTCTACCAGATTCAGTCAACATTCACTTTTTCTTTTTTTTTTCTTTTTCTTTTTTTTTTTTTTTTTTGGTCATATTTACATAGATTTAATTTTCTTGCAAGCCCTATTTAACAAGGAGAATGTTCTTGGCTAAGACACTTGCTGAAGGCTTAAGCTGCTGAGGCATAGGTTTCAGTGCCAGCGAGTTACTCCAATGTACTCAAAGGATGCTCTTTTATTTTACTACTTAAACTATGTTGTAAACAAGCAACATGGTTATCTCAGGAGAAGATGCACTTTCCAGGACTTTGTGACAGTAGCAGCTGTGAAGCCTTGGAATTCAAAAGAATCATGCAAATAGGGAAAGTCCTACCTACTCTGAGTCAAACTCACACTGCTCTTTTATGCTCTTTTATGACTGAGTTTTCTGAAATGCGCCTTCAGCCAGAGTGGATAAAATGTCTGAGGCTGATTTAAGAAGAGAAATAAGTCATTCAGGTGTTCTTTACATTCTATTAAATTCAGATACACAGAAACTTTAGCACACCTGCTACTTGTAGGTTTGAAGACTTCATGTGGTGTGAGCCGTCTGCCTCTATGCTTTCAATGTTCCTCCTTGGCAGCCTGAGATACTGTGATTGTATTAGTGCCATTTCATTCCGTATAGCCAAGAACAGGGATCTTGATACAGAAACAGACACACGCTTGCAGGAGACAGAGATGAGGTAATTCTAATGCTCTGTTTGCTTGGCATGCCAAAGGCAGCTCTACGCAGTCGTAATTTTACTGGATTCCTTATATGCCACTTTAGAGACATCTATTTTAAACCAGTTATTAACAATTTCCAACTTAGCTCTTCCAGTAAAAATACTGCCATATGCTCTCTACTTTTCTGCTTGCAAGCTTTGGAGTGACATATTCCAGCCAGAGGAAGTGTGAAGCCTGCAAGAGAATACACAGGCTTCCTGGGATTGATCCTGAAATTCTTACTAAATGCCTTGGGCATAAAGATCAGAATTCACTTCTCATAACACAATTATCTGCCGTTTTGTAAGTGAGATGTATTTTCCACGCTTAGAAATAGATGTCCCATATTGTTTTGTCTAACCTAAGCATGGTAAACATCAGTACAGAAAAGTGCATTCTGCAAAATAATATCAGGCTTGCCAGGCACAGGCTAGGCTGTGAT